TTTTTTTTTTTTTTTTTTTTTGTAAATTTTAGTCCCATCTTTATTAAAATAATGTTTTGTGTGTAATTTTTTATATATATTAATTTTATATCTTTTTCATATAATATTAAAATTTATATATATTTTATATTTTTTCACAATATGTAAACTACTAAAAAATCTCAATTTCTTTTAAATAAGATAATATAATATTAAATAATAAATATTTTATTTATCATTTAACTTTATATTTCACAATAATGATGTAAAATATACATATTATTTATGGTATTTTTATTTGACAAAAAAAAGCACTAACATTAAATATCAACAAATTACTAATACAAATTGAAATAAAAATAATAGCGTGATTTAATTTATAAAGTTGTAAAATATGTGGGTAGTATTGAAAAGTTATGAAAGTTGAAATAGAATATTATGAGGATATTCTTTTGGGTTTGAGAATGAGTTGTTCGATTTGAGATAAATTACTGCAAAATGAGACAGTTACTGCAAAATGAGTTTGAGTTTGAATTTTTCAGTTGGAGATGGCCTAACATACTCGATTACGAAACACCAAAATATTGATACATACATATAGTATTAAAAAATTAACATTTATGGGTAATTGTTCATGGATTCAACTAATTTATATTTTGTTTGATTTTTTATTATAATTAATTTTAAAATAATATGGTATGACTAGTTATTAGTAAATATATTTAAATAATATTTAATAAAATAACTAACGTTGATTTAATGTAAAATAGGAGACAAATTATTGGAAGTAATAGTTAGTCAAAATAATTATGTGTAGATGAATAGTGATTTAAAGTTGATGTGATGCGTAAAAATGATTGGGTAATAATATTGTATTTATATTGATAATATTGGAGATAGTGAAATTGAATTAAATTTAAGTTTTTATTGATTTTTTTTACTGTAGAAGCTAGCTATATCCAATCACCCCGTAGTCTCGATAAAATCTACATTAATATATATGAGATATTATTAAACTACAAAATAACAAGAGGATTATAACATTAAATATATATATTTGACATAATACTTAATAATATCTCACGAATTTATAAATTACATTAGTGGGAAATGCTAAGGTCCTGTTACAGAACCATTACGTCGTATTTGTAACCGTTTAATCGCTGGAGATAGTTGATCTAACGGTTACAAATTCCGACGGAATAATTCCGTAACGGGACCATAGCATCTCCCTACATTAGTTATTATAAATTCAGCAACTCTTATACATTATTAATGTCTTTTATCTTAAAATATTATATGTTAACATTTATATTTATATATATAATAAAAATTACCATTTACTAAAAATAGTAGCCAAAAATTTAGGAAACATTTAACACCTACTATTTTTGGACACTTTTTAAATATATGCATTACTTGCTTCTATATACACGTTTTCAAATAAGATCAAATATGATATGATCAAAAAATTACTTAAATAAATTTATTAATATCTGCAATATTTTCTTCATATTTATTATAATAAATTACAAGATTGATTTTCCGTGATTCATGTTGATAATATTTTGGTCAAGATAAATATTATTTTATTAATATTTGTAATACTTTTATTGATATTCATTATAATATATTACAAGATTGATTTCCATGATCCATGTTGATAATATTTTGTTCAAGATAAATATTACACCATATTTTAAGTTCTAACCATAATATTAATTTTTTTTTTAACAAATATTTACTTTTTATATAAAAATATTTATGGAGAATCGTGACAGGTTAGGTAGAATTTTGTTTTCCAAGTAATGAGACAAAATCAAGTTGGTGAATTAATCTTTGCCAATATATTTTTTCTTAAGCTTTATTTTGTTAAATATAAAAAATAAATTGTTCTTCAAATTAATATAATTTACCATGATAATGACCAGTTACATTAAATAGTTTTACTAATGCTAAAAATTAAAATTGAAATATATTAACTATTTTTTAAAATTATTTGTATATTATTGGCACCCATGATTATTATTCTTTCATTTTTTATTTTGATTTATTTTAATAATTAAATTCTTGTAAAATATATTTCATGGCAAAGTTTGCTAAATAATCATAAATCCTTATAATGCGAATTAAAAAAATCTTGATCATAATTGAGTTTTTGGCATTTTCTAAATCAAAGTTGTTTAATTGGTATACAACATTAAATTCTAAAAAAAACATGTGTATATCTTGTAAAAAATTTATACACTATTTAATTTTAAATTTATTTACATATTTTAAATTGATTACATAAATATATAATACGTGCATTAATACATTTCATTACATAAAATAAAAAGAAAAAGAAGATGTACAATTTCTATAACTTTATAAATAATAATGACATTATATGAAAAAAAAATTTATAATAAAATAATAATTAAGTATTATGTGGTAAACAAGAATAAGTAAAATCAAGTTTATATTAGTATAAATGTGTTAGTGAGATATATTAATTATTTTACAAGCTAGCCATAACATCCTCATATTTAATGTTTTGGCTAAAAAAAATAACGCTGATTAAAAGAGGTCAAAATAAATTATAAATAACCTTATTGTTTATTACACTCAAACGCTGATTAAAAGAAATAAAAAAATAAATGATAACTTTATTGCTTTATATAATTAAAGGGACAAAGCCTGTAAAAAATAATTTATTTAATATTTTTGTTTCGTGCATCGCACGGGGTACGTACTAATCAGCATTAAATAGACCGACTAAAAATCAAGCCACTATAAAAAGGTGGACGTTGTCCAAAGAAATCTGTACACCAAATTTACACACTTCTTTCAACAAACTATCACTACAAAAAATATTTTCTTTCATATTATCCATCCATTAAATAAATCTAACGAACACACACACACATTAATAAAATAACCACTCTAAAATATTGTTCTTTTAAAAAATAAAATAAAAAAAATGCCCATTAACTCAAACAGGGTGGAGAGTTCTCGGACCCCGGCAGCACAATCCTCTGCATGCCATGAAACCGCCGGCGCGCAACCTGCGCCGTCGTCGGCGGAGGTCCACAAAGTGTGCCTTCCGCCGCGTAAGAGCACCGTGGAGAAGCTCCGGCACCGGTTGGCGGAGATCTTCTTCCCGGACGACCCGCTCCACAGGTTCAAGGACCAAGCGCCCCTAAGAAAATTGTTTCTGAGCCTCCAGTTTTTCTTCCCAGTCTTCCAGTGGGGCTCGAATTACAGCTTTAAGCTTCTCAAATCTGATTTCATTTCTGGGGTTACCATTGCCAGCCTCGCGATTCCACAGGTAATTAATTAATTTAGATGTGGAAAAATATGATTTTTATGTTGTTTTTGTTGTTTTTAAGAATGTCCCCAGTGTGTGTTTGTGTGTGTGTATGTGTGTGTGATTGTGTGTTCTCAAAGACATTTTCCCTTTTCTGTAAAACATGAATATGATTACACATAAAAGCATCAAGTGAACTATATTGTGTTTTAATTTCTACAGGGGATTAGTTATGCGAAGCTTGCAAATTTGCCTCCCATAATTGGGCTTTGTAAGTTCACAATATGAAAAAAACTAACATTTGGTTTTATATTTTACTCCAAGATTTTGGTGACTTGCATTTGTATGAAGTGTTGTAATGTGTTCCGATTCGTGCAGACTCGAGTTTTGTACCGCCTTTGATATATTCCCTTCTCGGGAGTTCGAGGCATCTCGCCGTGGGTCCCGTGTCGATAGCTTCGCTTGTGATGGGCACTTTGCTTAGTGAGACTGTTTCCTACACAAATGAACCGGTTCTTTACCTCAAACTGGCTTTTACGGCCACATTTTTCGCTGGAGTATTTCAGGCTTCTTTAGGATTTCTCAGGTATAATCTGCACTAACTATTCAAGAAAAAGGCCAAAAGAATAACAAATTGTGTTACTCCCACTGCCTCCTTAATTTTATTTTATTACTATGATTTTGTTATTGCTTTCTAATGTGAAACTTCGTTGTTCTTTTCCATATAGCTCTATCAAATTCTGATTTTGGAATTTTGCAATCAAATAAAGCATCTCTACAATATATCTCTACAATTTTCTTTTCGACTTTTTTCCCACGAATTTCGAATGTGGCAACTTTATGATTTTCAACTACTTTATTCTTTCGCTTTAACTATAGAATCGCTGCTATAATACACGGAATGCTTATTACCGAAAATACGATAAAGCGTATTTATTTTTAATTCCGAAATTTCGTATTACTGTGCATTGAGGGTTTGACCTTGTAATCCACAGATTAGGATTCATTATTGACTTTTTGTCAAAGGCAACTTTGATTGGCTTCATGGCTGGTGCAGCAGTTATTGTTGCTTTGCAACAGCTAAAAGGGCTATTTGGAATAACTCATTTCACTGGCAAGATGCAATTAATTCCGGTGTTATCTTCAGTCTTTCGCCATGAAAACGAGGTAAAAGTCATACCTCTGTTGTTTCTTTTTAAAACAAACGGAAATAGTTGATTGGAATTTGTAACTTTTATCACATTGTAATGCCTACAAATCACCTTATTCTAGATGATGATGATTTTTATTTAGATATGCCAAATAACACTAATGTGCTGATTTTTGGTCAAAATTTGTATCATTAAATTATTTATATTATGTGATATTAATCTGCCTTTTTTTTTTT